CGTATTCTTGCTGTAAAAAAAGCTAGAGGAAATCCTACAAAATATTAATTACATAAATAAATATAATAAAGCATTAGTGAAATTTTTTTTTAAAAAATTTGAATACATTAATAAATTTTTTCCCCATAAAATCGGTTAGAAAATTTTTATCATTTTATCGATCATTACTAAAAATGATCGACAGCCGGTGACTTTTGTCAGGGGAGTGTACCTAAACTTCTAGCCATGTAAATACTAGTGCTTAAACTCTAAACTTTGAACTTCACTAAATGCTTAACTTTAAACTTTGACTTTTAGATCTTTTTATGTCAGTACCAAGCTTTCTAAACAATTAAGTAGAAAAGTAAAAACGAATTTCTATATCATACTAGTTACCTTACAGAACCTACATTTACAATAAGTAAGTAAAACTTATATATGCTACGAATGGGTGAAACTTACATGCTACAACTAAGCAAAACTTATATGCAGCAACCAAGTGAAACATATATGCAAGAACTAAGTAAAACTTACATGCAACAACCAGGTGAAACTTATATACACCAACTGGGTACAAATTATATACAACAAGTAGATGAAACTTACATACAACAACTGGGTGGTAAAGCTTATGTGCAGCAAGTGAGTAATAAAGCTTATGTGCAACAAGTAGGCGACAAAGCTTATATATAACAAGTGGGCGACGAAGCTTATATGCAACATTTTTTCAACCAACTGATGAATCTTTTTATGAACAACTTATGAATGATAAAAATAATGTAACTATAATCTTTAGAATGTTCTTTTTAGTATATATTGTTTTTGATTAATTATCAATTATACTTTCGTTTGTTATTCTTAGCCTTTCAATTTACCTTATTTATCTTTGGATGAATATAGCTTAAATGATATTGGACAATTGTCTAATAATTCTGATGAAGTTGAACAATTGTCTAATAATTCTGATGAAATTGAACAATTGTCTAATAATTCTGATGATACTGACAGAAGATAACAATTTATCTAATAATTTGGAGTTAATAGTTGATCGCACTTATTCAAACTGGGTTGAGTTTGAACATTGGTTT